CGCTGGGCTGCGGGGTGCAGCGGCACTGCGGCAAGGTGCTCTTCGTGGGGCTGCTGCTCTTCGGGGCGCTGGCCATGGGGCTGCGCGTCGCCTCCATCGAGACCGACATCGAGCAGCTCTGGGTGGAAGGTAGGAGCCGCCAGCACGCGTGGCACGCCGCGCCGCGCCCAGCTGGGCGACACCAGGTGGGGGCACGGCGTGGGCACGCACGTGCACCCCTTCCCTGCCGCCGTGCCTGCACACGTGTGCCCGGCACAGCGCACCAGCCGCCTGCCAGGCCCAGGGTGCCAAAGTAGCCGGCCACGGCCCGCGGGCCGGAGCCGACAGTGTGACCCGTGGCCCGGTCTCCCCACGGGCCGGGGGGGGCTTTGCACCCCGGCTGCGTGTGCGACCGTGCTGGGTGCCTTCCAGGAGCAGATGTTGCTGCCTGCCCAGCGGCAGCCAGCTCCCAGCTCCCCCCGCCCGGCTGCGTGTGTGGTCCCGGACGCCTCTTGGACGGGGTTCAACAATAGAAGGAGCTTTCCTCTCCCACCCCCGGCCTGGCCCGGCTGCCCCCCTTCCCCTGCTGACAGCCTGGGACCGGGGCCCACCTGTTGCCCCGCGCCGCCGGGACGTGCCCGGGCCCTGGGCACGGGCTGGAGGCCTCACTTGTAGCCCCTTCTCTCCTCTCCTGGCACCCGGACTCAGGGCAGCCAGAGGGAGACTCATCCCGGGTGGAAAGGAGTGGTGTGCCCTTGCACGCTCATGCACACACATGCATATGCGCCCCTTCCCTCCGCAGTCCTCTGGGAATCCCAGTCAGGCCCGCCCTGGCCGCGGCCCTTTGCTTTGGGGTCAGCGAGGACCTTCCCGCTGGGGTCAGCAGGAGGAGGGTGTGGGCCGAGAAGCAGCGTGTGCGTACATGTGTGTGTGCACACATGTGTGTGTGCATGGGTGTTTCCACTGCCTTGCGGGCACTGAGATTCCTTCCCTGCAGAAAGGGGGCAGGCGTGCAGGAGGCGGGGGCTGCGCTGCGCTGCCCGGTCCAAGGTGCTGGATCCTGCCTGAGGTTTGTGCCTCAGTTTCCCTGTCCTGCCAGCTCCATCTGGGCCGACGCTGGCGGGGTGCTTGGGCCTAGTACGGCCAGGCAGGGCTGCCCTGGGTGCTGAGCACCACGCTGGCTCTGGATGGGGCCCTGGGGGATGGACCGGGTAGGACCAGGTCAGGGCCCCTCACTTTGCACCCCAGGTGCTTGGGCAGCAGCTGGGAGGAGTCTGGCCCGGGCCAGCTCAGACAGCACCAGCGGTGCCGGGGGTGGCCCAAGAGCTGCACAAGGCCGCGGCACGAGATGAGCTTGCAGGACTCGGCTCCGTCCTGCCGCTGCCCAGGGAGCCCTGTTGCCCCCCTCCTGGGTCTTGCCCCTGCCCGCCGGGCTTTGCTGGGAGCTGCCTCCAAGGCATGCGCCGGGCGCCCGCGTTGGGCGCGCGTTGCCCTCTGGGCCGGGGGCGAGCTCCAGGCAGCTGCTGTGGGGTCCCGGAACGGGGCGTGAGCCCTGTGGGGAGCAGAGCTCCCATCCCCGATGATTTATAGCACCCAGCGGGGTTCAAAGGGAAGCCGCATGAATTGCTAACTGGAGCGGCCTCCGAGCCTGGAGTTGCCCCTGCAGGGACCTGGGACGGCGGGGCACGGAGGGGGCTGCAGCCAGGCTGGGGGGTCCCAGCGACGGGCACTGCAGGGCCCCCACCGGGCCGGGAGCCAGGAGACGGCACCGGTGCCACCGGGGCATGCGGGTGGGAAGGGCTGTGCCAGGGGATGCCCGGCATGGAGGGGCTTTCCCGGGCGCGTGGGGGCTGGTTTTCCCCAGGCCGGGCTGGATGCCCCTCTCTCCTGGGCCTTTCCCAGAGTCTCGCCAAGGGACAGAGCAAGGGACGGGCAGGCTCTGCCAGCGACGCTGGTTCCTGCGCCCGCCTTTGGCTTTGCATCGCGAGGGGCTGAGACGAGCCCTTGTCATCCCCCCACCCCGGCTAGGAGACGTGGGCCCAGTCCAGAAACTCCCCCGGGCCTGAATGAAGGCAGCAGGGTGGAAA